AGTCATTAAATTTAGACTCACTTTTATTAGTTGGAACATCAAAGTAATATAAAGAATTCCAGTATATTACACATTCTTCAGAAATGAATACTATAGAATAAGATTTTAAGTGTTTTTGTTGTTTGTTTGTTTTTACCTTTGTACTTTTACTTAAGCAAATGACCTAACACTAAATAAATAAAATCAGATTTTTTCAGTTTATTTTTTATTTACTTTTTAAGGATGTGTATAACCTGTTCTTACAAGCCTGGAACTGATTATTGGTAGGCTGGTGAGTGTTTCTGATGATCCACTGGGTCATTACACAGCTGCTTATGAAATCTGCTTAACTATGGGGAGGAACTTTGGACTTCACACACCATCCCCTCAAAGAGCCATTGTAGTTCATCAGTGTTACTTGGTAAATTGACTGGTTCTTATATAGGACATTTCTATTCTATCTGAGCACTCAAAGTACTTTGCACAACTTGCCTCATTCACCCATCCATGCAAGCACACATTCATACTGTGATGGTTGCATTATAGAACAACTTGGGGTTAATATGTTGCCCAATGATATTTGGGATGCTAAAAAAAATTTAAAAAATGTTTGCGTGCAAACAGTGATCAAACCACTAACCTTACAATTAGTAGGTGACCTGCTCTACCACCTGAGCTACAGCCACTGCAGCTGTGTCGACTGAACAGTACACTTCACAGGATCTCGAGTGGGTTAAATTTAGACTCCGCTATTTAAAACCTGAAATTCTTCTTTTCCAGAGACTCCGTTTTTGATTGACAGTGTGTTTTGATGATTCATTGTCTTGTTGAAACAGAAATGGTCTGTTATGCTTCAGGTCCAGGACTGTAAAATTTCCTTATACAATTTGAATTTACTGTTCTCTCGGTGACTGAAAGCCACGATATTCTCTCCACAAATGCACAGCTATATATTTTTTAAATATGTTGTGCTATATGTTTGTAAACTGGATCTTTTGCAGAAGTCTTTGGCATTTCCTTTTTCCACTCGACACAAATATGGATTATGTGCTATAAGTTAAGCCAAATTGTGCTTGTGTATAACTGCAACAGATCAAGACCAGGTCATGTTTTATCAGCTGGTCTTGTTTTAGGCCTAGAAAGCCTAAGCAGCTTATCAAAAAATTAACCAATAACATGGGACTTGCATTAATTGATAGCCTAGATTTGTGGTGAACGTTCCCATCTAATTTATGTGTGATAAATTTTTCTGGTTATGCTGACATGTTCCTGGCAAGTTGCAAAATAAGCCAGTAATCAAATCATGTAAATTCAGGTTTACAACAAACCACACAAAGCTTTTAAACAAGCAGCTATATTAATTTGGTTATTTGCTGTATAATGTGGTTATAATGTGGTTATCGTGTGCATCCATGCACGTAATGATTAACAGCTGTGTGCTAGACTGAAGATCCGGGTTTTAATTTTCAGGAAAATCTCTCATGGCAACTGAAATAACAGGAACTGTTTGAACCTGTGCTTCTGCTCAGAAAACTCTAAAAGATCTGGAGTTTTGTTTTGTTTTTTTTGTATTTTTCCTATATTATTGTTGCAATGCATGTGGCAATTCCACTAAAACAAACAAAAAATATTTGCAGCGCCAACTAACAGATGTCATGTTTTGTGTCCATCTTACCAAAGGTCCCTGCGGCCAAATATTGCACTAACACCCTGTTTGAGTTCATGCCGGGCTCACATGATCCATATTCATAAAGACACAGCCTTCATTTACACAAAACTTTAAGGCAGGAAGTTTTCTCCCGTCTTGTTGTAGTAGGCATAGTATTTTTTGGTGTTTTAGTGTTTTGGTGCTGCAAAAAGTTGTCTGTATTGATTTAATGCTGCTTACTACAAAGTAGTGGGTGAAGGCACATTTAGGGACTCAAAGTGAAATGTTAGTCAGGCGACAACTGCAGAGTTTAGTGCGGTACAGCTATACAGCAGCCTGATCCCAGGACAGCTTCTATCCCATTTTTTTCTTTAAGGATTATCCTCAGAAACATGAGGCTCATTCTGATGCGATGGCCATCAGTTTTTAATTGTTTTATCTGTGTTCATGTTTTTCCTGATTAGAAAAAACAAAAACAAAAAACGGTTAAAGGTGCCGTAGCAGCATCAGAGTCTTAATTACAATTGAGAGTAAGGCACAGACACAGTCTTCCATAAAAAAGTTTCAACAATAGCTTTAGCATACTGACTTATCTGAAAGTTCCTAAAGCATAATTTGTTGGATTCCATTTGCACACGTGTAGAGTCAAGACCATCCCTTTTATTATTATATTGCCACCTGGACTGAAATTATGTCACCAGCTAAGATTTATATGCTTATGATGACCAGCTGGGAAAACTCTATTATCATGACACTGGCTATTAATGTCTGTGTGTAATATAGATCATCTTTTAAAGGGAAGATAAAATACTCTACTTATTTATTCACTATAACCCACATGGGTAGTTTGAACATTATTTGTGTAAAACGTTACACTTAAAGAAGTTTAACATGTTTAATTGTTTTTTTGTTTTGTAGGTTTTACTTGTTGGCCGCCTCATAGCTTGTTCTTGTGAATGTCTACATGGGAACCAAAAGTGTGAATAGTATTGTAAATGGCCTGTATTTGTAAAGCGCTTTTCTAGTCCCTAAGGACCCCAAAGCACTTTACTCAATCAGTCACCCACCCATTCACACACATATTCACACACTGGTGATGGCAAGCTACATTGTAGCCACAGCCACCCTGGGGCGCACTGACAGAGGCGAGGCTGCCGAACACTGGCGCCACCGGGCCCTCTGGTGGTCAGAGGGCCCGGTGGCGTATAGTATAGCAAGTTGACAGAAAATATTACTTTTTACACTTATCTGGTGTGCATGCTAATGGGTAGGAGAACCAATTTATACCTTAAGTGAACATTTTGACTGCAAGATTGTTTCTTACCTGTGTTTTCTTACAAGGGTGTTCCAACAAAAAGAGTCCCCAGACTTCCTGATTGCCTCTTCAAGGTGCCAGGTAGCACCAAGTAATTTAAAAGGGGATTAGACAGTCATATTGGTTTTTGTTTTATTTATTATATTTTTTATTTTATTTTAGATCATAAGTATCTAGGCCAGTAGTTATTGTGATCTATACAGTGTTGATCCCACATTGATATCAGTAAGTTATATTATCAGATAAGTTGTGTGTTTTGTTTATTATTTTAATGGTATGGCTTGGGGGTTAATTACCAGTATAGTCTATGAAAGACTGCCAGTTAACATCAGAGGCTGTTACTGGAACCATGTCCCACCACTCGGCGACATTGTTTTAGTTTGTGTTTGTCAGTGCTGGTGGTGAAACCTGGTTGGCTTGTACCTCATCTCTGCCCCAAGCCTTTAACTGAAAATTTCTCATGGTGAGCATTGGATAAGGACTATAATATATTTGTTTTGACTCTAAATGTGGCTAAAAAGGAGACCTTTCATATACTAGATGGTGATATGACCTTTAAAAGTATACCCAAAATGCACTCTGTGAAATTTTCGCTATCATCATAATTATTAATCTGGGGGAGTTCCTACTGTTAAAACGATGACAAATCCCATGCAGATGCATGGTGCTGAACAATGGTGACAGAAAACATCATGCTGACCAGAAATTATATTTAGGCTTTAGACTGTGACTATGTTAATGGGTGTCAAATTGATTTGGTTGTTGTCATTTCAATTCAAATCAATTCAGTTTTATTTATATAGCGCTAAATCACAACAACAGTCATCTTAAGATGTTTTCTACTGTAAGATAAAGACTAAACAGCAGAGTTAACAGAGTTTAAATTAGTTTTGAGCCCTTAAATGTTCTCCTATGCCTCACCTGTATCCTTCAACACAACCTGAACTCTCTTAGGCAAGCGTTCCTGAAATGTCCTTAAGCAGTTTTCGGTAATAGTGCTCCAGTTTTGTTGAAGGACATTCAAAGCTCTTCTTTGTGCTACCAGTCTGTTTGGGATCACTGACATTCTGACTCATTCACTTGGATACTTTCCAGATTTTAGGATTATTGTGTAGTGAATCAAAATCTGAATGCAATTTTCTGTGTTCATAATAAAAGGATAAGCGGAAGCGAATAGATGGATGGTGTTCATGTCATCAGTTTTGACAAGATCCAACACCACTGGCTGAAATGCAACCCTGAACCATGAAAGAGCCTCCACTATGTTTTACAGATGGCTGTGGACACCCACTTTTGTAACTCTAAAAGTCGTCACTGATAGTCTGTCCAGTTCTTGTGTAATTTGGCATACCTCAGCCTTTTTTTTTTCTTGTTTCATTATTTCTCTTGACTTATTGACAGAAACCTTTACAGTGAGAACATTTCTGAGTCTTGGGTCTCAGTCACTGATTTTTATTCCTTTTTCTACAGGACATGACTCTCAGATACTGCTTATCTGCTCTAGATGCGGTTTTAAGCCTGACACTTCTTCTTTTGCTCTCCACTTGTCAAGTTTTCTAAGATTTTTGAAGGACAAACTTCCCGCCATGTTGAGATAAGCCAAGTTTGGGACTAACACCTCTTTGGAAGTCACTGTGGGCGTAAAAATACTATTTTATTCCTGTTATACATTTGGCTCTTTTTTTTCGTAGATACACAAAAGAAATTAGAACAAATGATGTGTTTACTTGGCTGCTACTAGTAGCAAAGTGCATTTAAAACTGGTTCTTTGCTAAGTTTTCTGCTTTGTGTAGACACAACACTGGGTCACCCCCTGAGTTAAGTGAATTTTTTATCCTTGAGTAGATCATTATTGAGTACCCCAAAAAACAGAAAAACACGTTCCCCTGAGAATGATTTGCATACAAAACCTGGACTGAAAATGAAGGAAATGTTTGTATTTTAACTTCCTTTTAAAATGGAACTTCCTGCTCGGAAGGTGAAAGGTTACGTGACGCTACAGATGATTTGGGCCCGCCTTTCTCCCCGCCAAGAGGTATGGGGCGGGTGTGACGTGAGCGCGCATACTCGTACTGGGCGGGCCAAATGTTGCCGGTCACCGACACAACTGGGCAAACTTTTCATAACTGTAGTAACGTTGACCAAAAGGCCACTGCTTACTGGCAGAGGAAGAGAGAAAGCTGAGGCGCGCAAACTTTGCAGTAATTTTGTATGATTTTTGACGTTTCTATCGCCTCTGTGCACGCGGAGAAGCGCAGTCCCATAATAAAGTCCTTATTGGCGCTCGGACCAGACTGCCTGGACTCCATAACATACTACTGCGAAGATGTCAAGTTTCCTTTGAGAGAGACACATTTCGTGGATTTAGGTGAGTCTGTTTATGTACTTCTCTAAGGTTTGGGAGCTTTATTAAAGCACACACGAGATCTAGACGGCTGGAAAGTAAATGTTGGTGGATTTTTTTCCACTGGCACTGTACGTAGATGTGTTGATTTGCTAACAACTTATAGCCTAAACTTTGGTCCTTATTGTTTCTTGAAAGCCAGTTGGGCTTGGTTGAAATGTTTCTTGTTTATCCGGTTTTACTGTTTCTTATCGGACGGTGGGCACTCGTAGCTGGCGTACGTGACGCCCACCCTTAACCGTAGGACGTTTTTCCACCGGAAAGCAGACTCGGCATAAAAATAAAGTATCGTTCCTCATGGTGGAACTTAGTAATTATTAACTGTTTGCCAAAAACGTGTTAAAGGTTAAAGCGAGCCGTCACTGTTGCTTTAGGCACGTTCCGCGCCAAGGATTTCAAAAAACTGTTTACCTGCGCGGGACACTATTAACTTCCTCTCCGCTGCCTCGCGCCTCGTTCTCATTGGCTGCTTCTGATAAAAAGGGCGGTACCGCCCTACCGTTGGGGCTGCGATTCGGTGGAATGTACGTCAGTTACCGCCAATATTAATCATGTTTTGATCAGTTTTAAAAGATTTCTTTGACAAAAATTACCAGGAAGAAAAGTCATGGTGTTTGTTAAACTGACACCGTGAACATTATTAAACTCATAATTGTTTGCACTGCCGGTTCCCCGGCAAATATATTTACCCCCAAAAGAGGTAAGATATTCTCTAAAAATGTATATATACATAAGTAAGATTTATAAATATAATAACGAAGAAATCTGGTTTGCAGGTTTAATTTTTTATGGCTATTTAAGTGAATTGCCTTTGTATATGATTTTTCTTAAAGTATTTGATTGTTTTGAACTATACCGTTAACATAGGTAACGTAATACCTAGATAACTATAGCTCATATGATCCTTATTGAACTGTTATGCTAACTTGGAAACTGACCCAGAAGTCTCATTCAAAGCTCAATAAGTACAGCGTAATATGGCCACGTTTAGATAAAATTTATTCGTATTTTTTTATTCTTACATTTCAGTATTAACCAGAGAAGAAATATGAGGCTTGCATCTTAATATGTCTTCTCCTTTTCTCACCAGGATGGTGGTTTTGTTGCACCCCAGGTATTGGTAAAAACAACAAAAACGCCAAAGACATTAACTGGTTCGTGTGGTGTCTTAGTGGACAACCAGATCACGATGGGTCCCCTCACCACACCTAAAAAAGGGAGGGAAGTTGGTTCAGTTGATCCCTGGACACCGACCTCCAACCTCAAAATGCTCATCAGCGCTGCTAGTCCTGAGATCAGAAACCGAGAAAAGGAGCTCTGTATGGACAACGATGGGCGGGATAGTCTTGAATCTACACAGGTACAAATAAAATACTAGAGCTGATGTCACAGGCATCTTCTGGTATGTTGAGATGGTAAAAAAGCTGTTCTTGTCTGTTGTCTTTTTTTTACAGGAGCCTGAAAATGGAGAAGAGTCAGAGAAAATGATTAGCAGAAAAGAGAAGAGTCTGGGGCTTCTGTGTCACAAGTTCCTTGCACGTTATCCAGATTACCCAAACCCAGCCCTCAACAATGACATCTGCCTGGATGATGTGGCCACTGAGCTCAGTATGTCTATTAAGCTCATAGATTGTAGCTAATGATTGCTTAACTTACTTTGTTTAGCAATAGCTCTTATGATACATCATATCTGAGTTGACTTGTTCTGCTTTAGGCAAAAAAACACACACAAAAACACCATGATCGTAACTTATTCTGGTTTGTTTCATTTTCTCCTCCAATGAGTTACTTTTACCTAATGAGTTAAGAAATTTTATTTTTTCTCCTACGCTCACAGATGTGGAGCGCCGACGCATTTATGACATCATGAACGTGCTGGAGAGTCTTCACATGGTGAGCCGCTCTGCAAAGAACCGCTACACCTGGCACGGCCGAACCAAATTGGCTGAGACTCTGGCCATTCTGAAGCAGGTGGGCGAGGAACACCGGTACAGCCAGCAGATGCAGCAGATCCGCCAGCGCCTTGTGGAAAAGGAGTTTGACTTTGACGGGGAGGAGAAGGAGAACGAGGTGGCGGTGGTGGACTTGGAGAACGGAGAACACGGACAGAAAGAGCTCTTCTTTGTGGAGCTGCCAGGAGTGGAGTTCAAAGCAGGTGGAGAAGATTTTGTTTTTATATAAACAATAAAATTGTCGTTTTGAATTTTGTGAGATGATACACAAATACTAATACAAAATGAAACAGTTAGGTTCAAACACAAACCTTTGTGTTTATTGTCCTATGTCTTGTCCAGCCTCTGTCAACAGTAGGAAAGACAAATCTCTGCGTGTGATGAGCCAAAAGTTTGTCATGCTCTTTCTGGTGTCTAATCCTCGTGTGGTCAGTCTGGACGTGGCTGCAAAGATCCTGATTGGAGAGGACCAGGCAGCAGATCAAGACAAGAACAAGTTCAAGAGTGAGTACAGAGCCTCATCCAAATAAGGTGTAGTGTAAGGATGTCAAACTCATTTTACTTTGTGGGGCATGTACAGCTCACTTTAATCCTAGGTGGGCCAGACCGGTGAAACTTGTTTTTCTGATGGTGTGAAAACATTTATTGACACACATTTCTGAGATGTTTTGAGATGTCCTTTAATTATATGACAAAAACAAAAATAATTGGCAAAATTTCTTCTTCTTTTTTTTGTTTGTTTGTTTTGTTTAATGTGAACACAAATTTCTACAGTAGATTTTGAAAATAATAATAACTTTCTGTCATTTAACGGTGTATTATTACTTATTTACTTGGTGTAGTATGAATTCTGATAGGGAGTTCTTTTGTCAGTAGAGCGAGATAAGAGAGAATGAAAAGCTGTAAAATGTATGACTTAAAAGTCTAAAATTTAAAAGTCGAAAGTGTTACAAACATCTCCAGTTGGGCAAGATTGGAGTCTTGGGCGGGTCCTTATGTTTGACACCCCTGGTATAAGGTTAATCGAGACTGCGTCGTGGCATACATGTGAACAATGCATGAACTCTATGACAGTTATGATTGAGGTGGGGGTAAAGGCATCTTATGAAGTTTTAAATGTTGATTATGTGTATTTCCTGTTTTGTGTCTTCACTAGTCGATATTAACGCTGTTTGGTTGTGTGTTTGCAGCCAAAGTGCGGCGGCTGTACGACATAGCTAATGTGCTACGAAGCCTGAAGCTCATTGAGAAAGTTCACGTGGCAGAAGAAAGGGGGAGGAAACCGGCGTTCGAATGGGTCGGCCTTGATGATTTCCCACAAGTCATAGGTATCACCAAAACTCCCTGAAAATTTGGCCCTCAGTTATAAGGTGTAGTCGTAGCGTTTGTGTTTTCTTAGCACTTAACTCTTCCTCTAGACTCGGAGAACACCTCAACCGCATGCCCACCCAAGAAGAAAGGCGTACTTGAACCACGTGCGTCTGCCGACAACTGTGCCAAAAATCTCTTCTCGTCACCGGGGACCAAACGCAGCTTCACTCGCCACCCGTCCCTCATAAAGCTCGCCAAGAGCATTCAGGATGATCGACGCAAGATCAACTCGGCCCCCAGCAGTCCTGTCAAGAGTAAGCAGAAAAGACATTTCTTCATTTAAAAAAAAGTTCCTTCTCCAGCAAATTATTATGAATGATGCAATGAAGCTTCTTAATTTTCTTTTCTTTCTTTTTTTTTAAATTTACTCTTCTGTCTTCAGGTGATTCCTCAGTGAATAGTGACTTCCCAAACAAAATGGCCCAGCTTGCTGCTATTTGTAAGATTGAACTCGACCAGGAGTCAGTGTAAGTTTAGTTCCATTTAGTTTGTCACTCATCCTAAGCTAAATCTTCAGTAATAACTCTGTACGTTTTACCTTATTTGGCTTTTGACCCACAGAGATTGCTTGCACGTGCACAAACTTACCTCATTATATTAAACATTTTGTCATGTTTCAATGTGAGCATCCACTTTTAAAAAGAACATAAAACATTTAAATGATTGTCCTGCTTGTGTTGCAGGACTGGAGATGTAGGCCTAAAGCCTGCTGCTGCAGAGGCAAACACAGGTTACGTGTTACAGCTTCCCACTCCTACTTCAGTGGAACCATCTCGTATACCGTTACAACCTCCAACTCAGGAGCAGGCAGTCAATACTACTGCCAACCCGATCCCACACGCCCTGCTGGCAGCACAGCCATCAGGGTCTGTTGCCTACATCCCCGCGCAGTGTTCGCCCCTGATCCCTGTACTGTTACCTCAGCAGCGAGGGAGCGGGCCCTACGCCGTGTATTTGAACCCTTCTTCGCTCAGGTCAAACCCTCTGGCCAGGCCGCAGCCAACTAGCCTGGCAGTGCGCTCTATGACTTTTGAAGATAAGACTGGGCAGAGCCCAAATGGCCAGTCGGCAGCTAAGAGCCACACAGCTGCCGATGCAAGTCCCTCGGGGGTCAAAAGGCTGCGTTCAGAGTTGGCATCCGAGGGCAGCCCCTCTAAAGCTAAGAGGTCTGACCCCACCTTTAAGGTGAGAAAACTTAAATGTGCCATTTATGTAATAATCTGGTAATAACCAACACAGAACTATGTAACTGTATCACCCCGCACTGTTCATTTCTCAGCGCCTGTCTTTGTTCACCTCCTAGGACACCTCGCCAAAGCTCTGTGAGATCCTGCAGGCCCGCCTAAAGGCCCGTCGTGTCGGTCAGCTCACCAGTCGGCCCTCGCCTCGCGCCCTCCACCTGGACCCAGAGTTTGTCAACACCCCCGGCGGGGCTGTAGCCAATCAGACATTAGAGCAGAGTTTGGAACTCCTACTGGACAGAGAAGAGAAGGTGGCAAATTCTGACAGCGAGGCGGGATTAACACCGGTCAGGGCTGTTCCCCTCACACCCAGACAGCTTCATGCTGAGGTAGAAGTGCTAAAAGAACTTCAAGGATCAGAGGATGATCTGTTAGTAGGTGTTCATTTGTTGATTTTCTTTTGTTCTACTCTACCTATCCAGACTTTAATCCCAGCTGGATACTTGATCCCAATCTCCCAGCAGTCCCTCATCAGCTACAAGGAAGTTCAAAGTTCAGGAGCAGAAAGCAACAAGATCTCACCTCCCAACATCTACCAAACACCAACTGCAGGTAAATATTTTATTAAATGTGCTGCTCGAGCTCTGACTGTACATAGATTTTATACTTAAACTGTCAAGAAAATGTTAGGTCTCCAGTTATCATTGTGTGCAGCACAGTAAAGATTGCATAAACAACATCCAAACAACAGAACTGACTTTTACTCTGTCTACAGGCTCCAGACCTGCCCCAGCCCAGGAGATTACGCCCACCAACCTTCGGCTTCAAAGACCCGCTAACGCAGCCTCTCCACAGGCCACCCAGCAAGCCCACCGCCTCAACAGTCCCAGTCCTGCCATCTTAAACTTCACCCTGCAGAACCTCGGTCTGATCTCCAGCTCCAGCCCAGGAAGTGCATTTGCTACACCTCAGACTCCAGAGCGTGCCAACACCCTGACCAGTCCATTGCCGAGCCCCCTGACTCTGCAGCAGAGGGCCATGGTTTTCATCAAACCTCTGTCCCCTGTGCACATTCAGCAGACTGTATCCCCACATCAAGTGGCCCTGATCGGTGTACAGCAGGTATAAACAAACAGCGTGGGCCTCTAAACCAGACTTAATCTGTTCTGCTTTCAGACTTCATGGCACACATGGATTTACATGCATGTCATCAGTTTTCTTGGCGGTGTTTTTGAGTTAGTTTCAGTTGTCTCACTGATTTAACAGTTTGAGAGAGGTGCTTCTGATTGTCTGATTAGACCTGAAACAAGTGTTTTATTATTGAGGTGATAGGATTTAGTGTTCATATAAGATCAATGAAATGAATATACTAATTTGGTTGAGAAATATTAGTCTAACTAATTATTGTCTGTTTTCTAGCCCCTGATGGCCACCCCTAAAGGGAGCGGGGTCCCCCAGCACAGCTTCTTTCACACACCGGTCTCCCTTTCGCCTCTGGCTGCTGTAGTAAACACTGCCGGACAATCATCCACCAAAACTGTACACATCCCTCAAAGAAAGCTGGACGTTACCACTGATGAGTCCTGAGGGCCCTGAAGGATCTTAGAGTACATATTTGTGTGTGTGGGTGTTGTTTATGTTGTGGGTGGATGGGTGTTTTTTTTTCTCCCCCTTTTTAACCTGTTTAGCATTTACACAGTATTCATTACCTCTGAAAACATTTCACAGCAGCTTCACTGCCTTCATTCTTATGACAGCCAGCTCTAAAAAAGCAGGTTTATCCCGATATTCATCAACACTACCGTCGTGCTCATTGTGATGCTTATGTGGTCTGTTTCACAGGAATAGAATGGCATGGGGAGAAATGTAAGAATAAGATATTTTTTATTTGTTTGTTTTGGTTTTTTTTTTGTTTGCTTTGTTTTTCCATTTCTGCTAATATGGATATTTTTATTCCTTTTTTCAGTTTGTCAGTACTAGTAAAATGACATCAGCACTCGAGTAAAATCTAGCAAGATCACTTTTGCACATACGGCATGTACATGTTAACTGTTACCCCTTGAATGGAATTGCTGAGAACCTGTGAATATTTGTAAGACATCCTAAGACAAATGAGAAATAGTGAGATTAATTTATAAGAAAATTACACTTGTATCTGATGTCCTGCTAAATTTAAAAATGCTTAATAAATTTTAAATATGTATTTTGTAAAAAAGAAAAGAAAAAAATGCATCCTTTGTCGCCGTCGTCGCCAACTTATGAACAGATCGCATTTACATTCCCTCTCTAAATCCCTTCATCCCCAGTTGTTTGTGGCAGATGGCTGCCCCACCCTGAGCCTGGTTCTGCTGGAGGTCAAAAGTTTTTCCTTCCCACTGGTGCCAGTGGCACAGGTGGGTCTAAAACTATTTTTAAAACTGGGAAACGGCACTAGCACATTATTTCTGGGTCTTGATCATCTGCTTTCATAGTTTGAAGGATCCACTGCAGAGTTCTGACCTTTATCCTAAGATGAAACCTTTATATCGTAATAGGAACGGTCTGTCCTGGGATTATGAGACCCCCACCCATAAGACACAAGGGGCTCACAGAAGAGTTTAAGTATTAAAATGATTTCAAAGAAATAGTTAGCAGATGTGCAGATTTTGGATAGATACATTAGCTGGCTCTGTATTACTATCGTCAAAAAAACCAGTGAGGGTACTGTCCCCCCATAGGCTTCCAGTACATGGTCTTGATTGCTCAATCTTGAAGCTCTACTCTTTACTCTGCACTTTGTTTTTGTTTTCTTTAATTTGTCACCAGAGCTTCTGAAGTTAAATTTTATTAAACAGAATGCATTAACATAAAAATGTTAAATTAATTAAGCTACTTTACGTGGATCTGTTGTGGACAGATTCATATTGATTTTGTTTACTGGCTATTCTATTCTGTTCAATTTCATATGTCCATTTGCTACTTGTTCATGAGATATTTTTAGGCTCTTATCTCTTGATGGCCTAGCAGCTGACTGGAGACAGTCCTGAAAGCCTTCTCTCTTGAGCTTAAGTATGAAGTAAAGAGATCTGACGTGATTCAAACGTCTGTGACAAGCTGTGTTTACTTTCCCTTGTAGGAAGCTTAGGACCAATCTTTAACATTTGTTCTGCAATTCATTTCAATTCAGTTATATTTATATAGCACCAGTTCACAGTAACAGTCACCTCATGGCAATTTATATTGTATGGTGAAGATCCTAAATATTAGAATGAAACGTCCAACAATTGCATGACACCCCACGACCCTACAACTAGATGTGAAGATCACCAGGTCACTACCGCAGCTCAGCCATGTGTTCACCATCAGTGGTGCAACCAATAGTTATATTTAAATACACCGTTCATGCATATAATCCTGTAATGCTTCTCTGCTGGTAGTCAGACTTTCCCGCACTCTGAGGGCAGAGCAAATATCTGAGTGGCTGATGTTCAGGCCTCTTTCAGCTTGTGATGAAGGGTCAGAGGGCCCTGCTTAGTCACAAGTTATTTTAGGAGGATACTTTCATTGAAGTGTCACCAGTGGACCGTGGTGATAGTGAGACAGTATTTAAACAGCCCAGAAGCGCTCATCACCAGTCAGCCACAGAAGCAAGCTTGGAGTCAAGGTAAGGACCTGCTACCTTTTGTATTAAAGCTCCCTTTCAGGGTTTGAGTAGTTACTCCAAGCTAAGTAAAGTACTCGATGATACTTTTACTTACTACTTTAATTTTTCTTGCTAGAACTCTGTTTACATTGACGCATTTATTATACACAACCATGAACGGCTGGCGGCACTTTCACGTGAAATTTAGGATCTGTCTCAGTAATATTCAGTTGTTTTCAGTGTAATTTGAAGGAGAGACAGCTCAGCTTTTGTCTGTCCAATATGACAGTTAAGCCCCTGTTCCTGGAATATCACATACCAATGCTGTGAGGTGATGGGCAGCCTTTGATATTAGTGCAAACTGGGATGTCAGACAGAACGCCAGCGAGGGCAGAGCTGCCATTCCTGAGTAAATGTTAGGATGGATGTTAGAGTTAAAAACTGACACATCGCAGTGAGACAATATCAGAACTGATTTGATTTGATTTGAAGTCTTCGTAACCCTGACGACGTGTATTCACGTACATGCAGGAATGTACACATAGAGATTACACACACACAACCACCAGAAAACATAGAGATTTTATTTGTTTGTTTAGGTGAGGAGATGATTTTTAACCTTTTTTAAATTCAGTATAGTATCCTCTTTCAAATTTTATAAATGTAAAAATGTAGATAAGGTAGATCCTCTAAAACAGAGATTCCCAAAGTGCTGGGCCCGCTCCTTGGGGAGGAGCAGAGCCCAGAGCCATTACCGAGGAGGGGGCTGGTGGGGGGGCAGTGGCGGTATGAAAAGATAAGAAAAAAAAAAAGAAAGCTTGGACCCTGCAAGCATTACGGACAGCTTTTTGACGGGGCTTCCACACAAACGCAAAGCAGGAGATGAAGCATCGTCAAATATGTTTCCAACTTCATTCTAAAACAAAAACTAGAAAAATGGTGAAGCATGTCTGCCCTTTGGCTTCACCTGCACAAGTGCCAAGGTAGGTCTCCCCTGCAGAATTGGTTTTCCCTGTCGGGAGCACACGCTGGGCTCTCCAAATCACGAACAGTATCCCACATTCTTGATTTTTAGTTCACAAACACTTCTTATAATGACTAACTAATCCTGAAATTTTGGAGATGTTAGCTGTTTATACAGTAAAGTTACAGCGGGATACAAATAATGTCAGGCTGATCTTGCCGTAATTTGTCCCCCCTGTCCAAATCACTGACAAACAGTATGCCACAGTTGTTTATGTTTTTTAACCCATTTTGCACAGAGAGACATTTAAAAAAATGTATTGATAGCGATGTTGAATATTATTACACAGGAGAAAACAACTACAAGTAAAATTACACCATGAGGCCTCTGCTTTTCTAATTGGAGGGAGAGTAACTGCGTGTGTAGTCTATATGTAAGCATGTAAAAACTGAAGATATTAAGATTAGCAGTAACAGTATTTTGTCTCTATCTGCAATTCATCTCATGTAAACCATAACATGGCGCACAGTCTGACGTAGGAAAAGGCACATACCTTTCACATTGCGTGACAAACTGTATTCCTCGTCCACACAAAACGCAAAAACAGAGTTTTTAAAAAATCTCAGTTTTCGGTGATTCGAAGTGCCGTTTACGTGTGGACGAAAGGCTCAAACGCATAGAAACAGCTGCGTTTTCAAAGGTGTAGGTTCACAAAGTTAGTAGTTTATTACTACTAATTTACTAGTAGTAAATGACTACCTGTAATTTATTGCAGTTTACTTTTTTGTTCAATCGTTTACTAAATGTTTGAGGTGTGAAATAAACCGCAATGGAGTTTGAAAACAAAATATGGGTGTGTGTTAGGTGGTGGGGGGTGCGAAGATTTTTCTTGGAAACAAAGGGGGGCCTAGCAAAAAAGTTTGGGAACCACTGTCATAGGAGGTCATCTGACTGTTGATGTTTTCTCTGTATTATTGTAGGGTCATTACCTAACAATATAAAAAAGAGGTGACTATTGTTGTGATTTGGTGCTACATAAATAAAACTGAATTGAATTGGATTTTTAATATGATTACATACATGTACAGAATACTGGAAATCAAGTCAGTCCTTACATTAACACTGATTTAATTGCACGATGTTTTACTTGTCTATGAGTAAGCACATGCCAACAACAGTGGGAAGGAAAAATTCCCTTTTAACAAGAAAGCTCCAACAAAACATGGCATACCAAAGGGCAGCTATCTGCTGAGAGCAGTTGGGGTTGAAGGAAGTAAGACAGAAAAAAAACTCCTTGAGGGGACTGTTGTTTTGATTTGGGGCTGTATAAATAAAATAATTGTATAAATAAAATAATTGAATTCAACTGAATTGAAAAAAGAAGACCAACCTTAGGCGAGTGGTGTATAAAAACATAGTGAGTGTAAAGAGTGAGGGAAGAAGAAATGCTCAGTGCATTATAGGAAACCCTCTGCAGCCTAGGCCTAATGCAGAGTAGGATTCAGGGTCACCTGATCCAGGCTAACTTTATCAAAAAGGAAGGTTTTAAGCAGAGTCTTAAAAGTAGAGAGGGTGTTTCAAATCCAAATTGGGAATTGAAATCATATTTACATTTCAGTTCTAGCCTGGAAAACAAGACAACAGATCAATAGATTGTTTGAACTCCTTTATTTATTTATTTTGATTTACTCTTGAAGATGCCAAACTGGGGAGGAGGAGCCAAATGTGCAGCCTGTGAGAAGACAGTGTACCATGCAGAGGAGATCCAGTGTAATGCAAGAAGCTTCCACAAGACTTGCTTCATCTGCAGTAAGCAGACCCGCACTGCCCCAACAGAGGGTGTCATGGTGGATCTGGAGAATCATGCAGATATGTGATAGAAGTAATTTACACGTAAAACCCCCCCAGCTATTTTCCTCCTTCCATTCACCTTTGTGTATCCCATCTGGGCCTGCATCATTACTCAGCAGTCCCTCTGTATTTTTCTGTGTTTAATGACCTGCCTGCAAAGCTTCTTTGATTCTTCCACCCTGCTTCTGTTTGGCTTGCTTGCTGATTTCATACAGCCACAAGTGCTTAACTGGATCACTCAGTGACAGTTTACTTTCCCAGTTTACTGTCCCCTACACCAAAACATACACTCTCCAGCTGGTCAGTAGCCTGTGTGACTGCTAGATTGTTCCACTGGGAGCTCAGAAAGGCCTCTGTGAAAAGCTCACCCATCTTCTGAGTCTTCATCTTTTCTCGAACTTTCACCTCATGATCCCCTCTCTTTCTACAAATAGAAATACAAGACATCAGACTATGTGTAATGTTACTGCTGACTGATAACACTAGCTAGGTGGGTGCTTTATTTAACCTCCATTATACCACCATGACATTCTACTGAAAACATCTCACACAGTCTCATGGTCAGCATGGTACTAAATGTGTGTGTTTCCTTCACACAAGTGAGCTGCAGAAAGGGGCTGGACAGTACAACAGTTGCAGCGCATGAGTCTGAGATTTACTGCAAGTCCTGTTATGGCAAAAAGTACGGGCCGAAAGGATATGGGTACGGGCAAGGAGCTGGCGCTCTGAGCTCTGATCCTCCTGGACAGGATGCAGGCCCTCAGCCTCATGAG